ACAATAAAATAAGTAATGTAAAACTGCTACTTTGTGACCATTGATGGTTTCATGCAAAAGTGGTTCTTTATGAGGGGGTGGTTTTTTACAGAGGTTTCATTATAATAAGTTTTTATTGAAATTTGGCTAATAATAATACAGAAAAGTACAGGCCAACTTACCTTTCTGTACTCCAAAAAAATAGTTTTATAACAAAATCTTTTAATATTTCAAGTAGTAAAAAATTTTGTAAAGCATATTATTTCCTTTCTATATCCACTTTTGGATAAAATAACATTTCTCTATCAACATGATTAGATTTATAATGACATTTAATTCTTAATTCATAAATTTAAAGCTTCACCAGTTTTGCTATATAAATCATTGGAATCATATGAATGAGCATTACAGATTTGAATTCTGCTCCACAGAGTTTATTTTAGACCATTTTAAATTATTAATTAATTTATAATTCTATAGCTAGATTGAATTTATATTATTCAGTAATTATATAGTAATTCCTAAAATAGTGAAAAGTATATTTTTTATAATTGTGCAGGTATACCTCGACTTACGTCATTCCTGATTATATGCCGTTTGTCAAAAAAGTATATGGAAAAATAAAAATCAAGTTTAAGTCATTTTATTCAACTTAACATCTGTCCGCCACAAATATTGAAGTCGTAATATCACTAGATAAGTGTTTAAAGCACATAAAATCATATTAAAATATATACATTTACAAGTATGTACTGTATTTACAGTACATGCATTCATACATTTAGATTACTTTTTTCTGTACTATATTAAAAACTAAAATTTATTTGTTTATAAGCTTAAAATAGATCCTTATTAACCATATATTATTAAAAATGCATTAATAAATAAAATACAGAACCGTGGAATGGTAATTTATGGTTTAGCCTAGTGACAAGTAGATTTGGAGACAAGTAAATTCACCTTACGTCGCCTCTCCTGGAACCAATTACGGACGTAAGGCGAGGTATACCTGTATTGATAAGTATTTATTTTAGTTTCTTTGTTATCATAATTTCAATAAATAATAATTGCAAAGTAAAATAGAACTTGAAAATTTATATTGATTGATAGAAATGAGTTCATTTCACAATAGAAACTCAATTTAATGTATTTTTTATTTGTCCCTTCAAATCTCTCCATAAACTATAATGTTAACATTACCCCCATTAGCATCTTTAAAATTTGTATATTTTCAGGATTTAATGTATCAAAAACTATTTCTAGATGAATTTTCATCTGAAATAACATTTTAAAAAATTATATATATATTTAATTTAATGTTATGACAGTTAAGAGAATTATGAAAAGTTCATTGAATTATTGTTTCAGTACTTTATGATCATAAGAGGATGCCACATACTATAGTTTTGGCATCTTGGTAGCTATGTTGGATTCAGAGCAACTAGAATAAAGAAATATCATGTCAGTCTCAAAGTTCACTGTAGATTCTACAGTCCAGATAATTTCAATTAATATGTGCAGTTACCAATCAGGATATTATGGTAAGTGCCAAATTTAACCCTTTTGCCACTATATGAATGGGCTAGAAATTTCTAGAATGTTGACTTTTTTGACAGAGTCTAAACAAATACAACTGACACTGCTTTTGACTTTAATTATGGAATATTATATGAAAGTGGACCAAATTTGGTACACTTTCATATATGTATAAAAATGGTACATTTTACTAAATAGTACAGTTACTCTTTGCATAGTACTTTTTGTTTTTATTAGAAATTACATCATACATATTGACATATGATTATATTATTATTAAACACACTCAAATAACTTTGAATAAACAGCAAAAACTTAATAACTAAAATGTTTCTGGACATTTTTATTAAATTATTTTTGCAAGGTAGCTCCGATTTGCATTATTACTTGTCAAAATGAAATAATCTAATTTCATTAGATAACTATCAATAAATCATTTTCTTTAATTTGTAGTTCTAACGGATCACCAAGGCGATCCAGAACGTGATGTGGGTAAGAATAAATGAGGACTGTACAACAAAATTTAGAGAAAAAAAAACACTTACCGAGTCCGATGTAACCCGATTCCTTCACTTACTTAGTTCAATCCGCTCTAATTTGCCGGTTCTTGTCTATATCCAGATTGAGTCCTGACCTCCTTTGTTCGTTGGTCCCTCGTCTTCCCTTCTGCCTATCCAGAATTCACACAGAAGCAAGCCAAACTCCTCTTCCTTCCTCTCAGGTTGCCCTTTTTATAACTTCCTATAAGCTCCTCCCTTCACCTCCACGTGATCACCAAAGGGGCCAATCAAGGCATCAACAAAATCCACCATAAGGTGGCGCGCGATACAAAACTTTGAAAAGAACAAACAAAGANCCGATACCAAATCGCTCACAATGAATGTTACAGACGAATTACATAGCAGATCCGCCACCCTGACAATTCATATAGGGCAGTCTCCTTTGTGAGTGGACATCCGATTGGAGCCGTGACCACGTGGAAACGAAAATCCTCTTTGGACTGAAATAATGGGCCACGAAAAACAGTCTGATGATGTTCTTTTACCCAACCTTAGTCAGATAATTCTCCGACGCTTACCGAGTCCGATGTAACCCGATTCCTTCACTTACTTAGTTCAATCCGCTCTAATTTGCCGGTTCTTGTCTATATCCAGATTGAGTCCTGACCTCCTTTGTTCGTTGGTCCCTCGTCTTCCCTTCTGCCTATCCAGAATTCACACAGAAGCAAGCCAAACTCCTCTTCCTTCCTCTCAGGTTGCCCTTTTTATAACTTCCTATAAGCTCCTCCCTTCACCTCCACGTGATCACCAAAGGGGCCAATCAAGGCATCAACAAAATCCACCATAAGGTGGCGCGCGATACAAAACTTTGAAAAGAACAAACAAAGAACCCGAACAAAGGTGTGACAACACACAGTATCTAATAAAAAAAATAATAAAATAATACACGTGCCTAGCACTACAAATTATTTATTTAAGTGGATGACTTAAAGTATTCCAAATATTACAATATTTATAATTATTATATTTTTTTGTGAAATTTTTATATTTTGCTTGCCAGTTTTGTTGTTTCTCAAAATTTGCCATTCTGGGCCTTAAGCCAAATTGTGCCTATTTAGAAATCTGGCCCTGATTATGGAAGCAAGTACAAAATACAAAAGAAAGTACTTAATGCACAATAGCAGTGATGATACTGACAAAAATGTGTTTATTTATATTTCAAAGTTAGAAACTGCAGTGATGAAGACATGTCAAAACCTCAACAGGAAACAAACAAGGATCCTTGTCACTTTCAAAAGCTTAACCGCTTATTATGTTTATATGAAAAATGTTAGAGGTGACAATTGTTGTATATTATAATGTACAAAATACAGGATTTTATGAAAGTGTTTATACTGGTATAATATATGTATTTTTTGTCATTTTATCCATTCTGAATGCATATGTGCATGTATTTGTATATTCTAGCATGTTTTTTAAGGATGTTTGAATTTAATGTATTTTTTCACTGATTCCTTAAAAAATTGTTAAATTGAGTTTCTACGGTATATAAAATACTGGAAATTAATTATTTCTTGAAATATATATAAAAGTTGTGTATGTATACAGTTTGGCCTTGTACATTTAGACAAAAGCATTGTGCATGAGAGTAAAGTTAGGTAATCAGTGGGTATTCAAATGATAGTCGCCATAACCTCCAAACTTCCTTCCCATGGGCCAATTCTTGTCTTGACTCCTATGAAAGATAGACACACGGTTACACAGTCATAGTGTGTCAAAATTAGTACAAAATATTTTTTGTCCTGTTAAAATAGTCAAAGGAAAAATGGCTGGACACAATACAAAAATAATAGATAAACTGTAATAGGCTTCTCTGCCTAGTTTTGTATGCTCCAGACAGCTCCTGTTACCCATTTGTATTCAGATAATATACACACAGAAGCAAGATATACTGTTGTGCAACGTTTTTTTCTATACCCTGTCTCCCTCTATCTCTCTCTCTTCATATATATAGGAATTTTGTTTCCAATGCTTAAACATATAGGAATTTTTTATGTTGTATAAATTTCTATGATAATAAACATCTATATTTCAGAATAAAATGGCAATGAAATATAAACACAATAATATTATCTACATTTGTGCCATTGAGATTGAAGTCTTTGATAAGTTTATTGATTTTTCTAGCAGGCAGCAACATTATGCAAAAGCTCAGAATTCATCAGCTGATGTAAAAAAAATTGAATTTGTCATACAAAAATTATAAGTTTCAAATTAAAGTATATGAAAGCTAAGGATTTCCTATATTGAATTCAAGTCACATTTGATTATATATTTTTAATTTATAGTTTTTCACAAAAAATATAATTTTCTCATCTATATAATAAAGCTACATTGGCCTCATTTGAAATGTTTGAATAGAAGCAGGCTTCATACAGAAAAATGAAATAGTACATTTGAAAGTAGATAATAAGTATATTACCAGGAAAAACTCAAATATTTTAGGTCCTATGAAATGTGAAAGTTTGACCTTTGATGCCTTGCAGCTTGTCATGACATCTGTTGGATAATTAAGTATCACCAGTATATTTTTAAGTTTGCTTCATATTATTTTAAATAACATTATTTTCATTTTATCTTACCATTGATTATTCTTTATTTAATTGATATTAACTAATATTGCTTAAAATCTAATAATCTTAAATTGCAATATAGATATTTTACATTACTTCACAATTCTCTCATGTCAGGATAAAGTACCTAGTAAGTTACAGGATGAGAATTTAATTTATTTCTCTATTGTGTTGTATATCCTTTCCTGTTTATGTGATATACAGCATTCTAATATAAAATTTTGAAAAAATTCCAAATTTCAAAGTTGCTTTTCTTCTCTTTTTAAAAGAAATACATGTCAAAAATACTTATTTAACATTATTTTAAAAGATGAGCTTATAAATAAAAAGGTTAATTACTCTTTATATGCAGTTCCTTCAGAAATAATATCTGAAGATTCAAAAGACGATTATTATGAAAACGATTTACAACATAGCAAGAATTCTACCACATGGTATATTTATATCTAAATAAATATTTTTGATTACTTATTTAATTTACTTTCATTTGTTTTTAAGTAACAAAAATTTTCATTTAGGTGCTCCAAAACTGATGTACAAAATGGCAAATGTCATTATGTTGGATTCCCTTTATCTGGTAAGAATTTTTCAAGCTAATAAAATCTCAAATCATTCAAACGATAAAATCTAAAATCTCAATCTCAAATCATAATGACTAATGTTGTTATTTTTAGATCCAGCTCTGCAGAGTGCCTATATAGCTTTGAGTGTGATTTTATTGGTTTTAGCAATTCTATTAATAGTTGCCCTTGTAATGTGGAGAAGGTATGTTTCTGAATTTAATAAATATTTCTACTCTGTAAAGTTTATTATCTTTAACTATAATTTCTATTTAGAATTATTTGAATTACAATCCATTTTAAATATGCCATCCCATTCAATATATCAATAAAGACAGCAAACCAATATTATGCAAGCTACCAGAAATTTTTCAAAAATATTAAATTAGTAGAAATATATTAAACTAATATTTTTTATGTGAGTATTTGTATATATATACATAAATGGTCATTGAATCATAATACAAACATTTCAGTCATTCTATTTTATTATAGTCAACTAAGACTTATCTTATTAACAGGACATTTACACTGGTGTGATAGTTATTTGCATCAAGTACGAGTTCTTAATCAGAAAAAACAAAACACTTTATTTTTCACTTGTTGTTCCTGTACACAAAATACACATATTCGTGTTTTGGACACATACATTCCTCATCAACAGGTTTACAATGATGTTTAAAAAGTACATAATAATTAAATTTTTATCTCAACAGTTTAAAAAAAAAAAAAATTTTCCCAACAACGATATAATAAAAACTTACAAATTATATCATTGTCAGGAAATTTTTAAATAAATAAATAAATACACATATTTTTACAAATATGTGTATTTTGTGTACATGAACAACAAGTGAAAAATAAAGAGTTTTGTTTTTTCTGATTAAGAACTCGTACTTGATGCAAATAATTATCACACCAGTGTAAATGTTCTATTAATAAGATAGGTCTTAGTTGACTATAATAGAATAAAACAAGAGATAAGGACGTAAAGACAACTAAATTAATATCAGTCATTCATCTACATATTATAGATTAAATTAAACACAGTAGAATCAAACAACTTTATGAAAACCTGATACATTGTATTACCAAAGCCAACCACTGCCATATGCTATAACGGCTATAATATTAATAAAATTACCAAACAATTTGATACTAGAGGGAGGCATTAGGTGCCATCTCTTAATAAATTTAATAATTATAATTTTAATGAAATAATTTAGATTTACTGGAAGAAAAGAATTGGCTTGAAGCAGGACTCGAACCTGCAACTTCCACTTACCGTACAGATGCATTGCCAATTACGCTATCCAAACCTCCAGTCCGATCTTGTCTTCCAGTAATATATAACATTACACTATAACCATTGTTGGTTACTATGATGGTTATAGCGTAATGATGCATCCCCAGCTGGCACCATAGTAACTGACAATAGTTATAGGGATATAGACAATAGTTGAAGGGGATAGGAGATAAGTCAGTGACTATCTTGGACCTCTATAATGGGAAAAGCGGGTTTGGAACTGATCAGATAGCCTAATCTCTTCTTAAAAAACTTTTCTCATTACAATACACTCTGTTATCTGTTGATGTCATGTTGTTAATACTATGATCCTCCATGCACATGAATGTATTAAGTTCTTTGCTGTGTTTGCACATATGGCAATCTGGTGTCCCCTGATAAGGCACCATATTTAAATTTCAATTTTCTTACTATAGTAATGAATTTATAAAAGATTGATTGGGGTTCCCTGTTGATAGGGACTCCAGGCAATTGCCCTTTTTGCCTGTAGAATAATGAGCCACTATCCCATGATAGCGCATAATTGGAGTGAAATGCTTGAAGGGAGAGAACTGTGCCATTGTGCAGCTCAGAGAACTTCAACAGAAAAGAGTATGCATTTTCACTGTTTACTGTAGAGAAAGGTGATTAAGTACAGCATCACTTCAGAATGTAGCCATCTCCACATCATCAAAATAATAATAGGGGGAGTAAGCAAGTTATATGAACTTTGCACAAATATGAGTTTATATTTTACTGTAAAGAACAACAGCATAAATTAATTTGTAATTTTTATATCTTTTTTATAGATTTACAAATTATTGTAAATGAATTTTTGTAATAGGTATAGTACATTTATTTTTAATGTAAGAATAATAAAAGTAGCTCTAAGTCAACAATCATCAGAAAAGATTCCTTGTAAATGATTTAGCATTAGTTTTATTGAAAATTCAGAAGTGAGGAAACTGGATTTGTGCAAGGTAGTGGATATATTTGCTGCAATTAAGTCCAGAAAAAAATTAGGCAGATAATGTTTATTTCAAAATATGAAACTACAAATTGCTTATTACTTTTTAAGTTTATTAGGGGGTGAAGCTCTCCTGACCTCCTATAGTGGCCAACTTCTTGCTCACTTTGCTCACTTGTTCCTAATACAGACTATTCGTAACAAAATTTTCAATAATATACAGGTATAATTTGCCTTACATTGGTAATTGGTTCTAGGAGAGATGACGTAAGTCGAATTTACTTGTCACTAGGCTAAACCACAAATAACCATTTCCAGTTCTGTATTTTATTTATAAATGCATTTTTAATAATATATGATTAATAAGAATTTATTTTAAGCTTACAAACAAATAAATTTTAGTTTTTAATATGGTACAGAAAAAAGTAATCTAAATTTACGAATACATGTACGGTATGTACAGTACATGTTTATAATTTGGCGATGTTCACAGTACATTGTGGACTCTTTATTTGTGAATATGATTTGCTCTAAGACATTCTAAAATAAGATGATTTTGTAAGGTTAAATAACAAATACAGTTATTAAAATTATTTTTAAAAATAAACTAATTTACGTTAAATTTACGAGTGGCGCTGGCAATGATGCCAAACAGTAGATATTGGAACTACCGTGGAAAATGCCAATATTGAGCGCTTATAGACTGCTAAATAAGATGACAACACAGAGTCACAGATGTTTTCATATTTTGTTCTCTACGATTTATGATGATTATATTAACATTTACTGTAAATGTACGTATTTTAATACCCGAAATTGGGATTTTATTGTGGTGTCACCACCGTCATATATTAAAAAGTTGCATTTTTGTCTTAACATAATAAAAATATTTTTATTTAACATTCACCATCAGTGCATACTGAATGTCAACATTTGCCGGGGTAAGTGAGAAATAATGATATTTAACATTACCGTCATTAGAAGCAGTCATTAGAAGCGGTGGAAGCGCCGCTTCCCTTGTATTTTATAAAAAATAAATACATATTAATTTTAATTATACGAAAATAATCGCACAATATTTTATTATAACCGCATTATCTATCTTATTACAAATTTCTATACTACACGTGAAAAAAAAAATAAGATCGCTATTGTATATTCGAATATTAGTGGCGGAGTGGAATCTCTGTATTGTCAGATTCCAAAAAGCCAGATTTGCACATGCGCTTTACAGAGAACCAACCTCACCCAGTTTAACCGGTGGAAGCCTACGATCTTGGGTTGATGCTACACATATAACGCTTCCAATTCTATCCGGGACCGGTTCTGGGCTGTTAGCTGATTACGTGAATAACGAGTAGATTTATAACTTAACCCAACTGATAAGAATTTACTGGTATGTTTTTACGATAGTTCTGTATAGTTGACAGGAGTTTAAAAAATCTATTAAAATATTTGATATTTTTATTCCACTCTCTGATTTTATATTACTCACGGATTTCAATGTTAAACCAGTGATATTACGATTTCGTATGTCCCATCTTTAAGGGGATGTAGAAAAAAACGTGTACAATTCTTGTATAATGTTAAAAAATTAATCATTACTTCGACAGCGTCATTTACAACTAAATTTAATGAACGAGAGAGATGCACCAGGTGCAGAAAAAGCTCTAGAATTTATTTTTCTTAAATTTACGATTTATGTATCCGTTTGTCACAAAAATTTGTCTTTCCACTTTTTTCTTGAGACTACAAATATTTGAGTACAAAGTAACTAGTTTCGACTTATTTCTACTTAAGTAGTAGTTAAGTAATTAAGCGATTAGGGAATTGGGGAACATAAACAAAACCCTGACGAAAGAGCCGGAATATTACTTAAACAAAAGCTTAACCGAACCAATCTATAGCCGAGTACAATGGGGACTGATTTCTTCGAAATACTGTATTAGATGTAATAAAGACAGAAATTTTTCCAGTTCAATGAGAGTGACCAAAAAGTTGTAAATTTTGGAAATTTCCGTGGACAACACCTGGTCCTAAAACAAATTAGTTAGAAAACAAATGACTATTAAGTTTAACATATTTAGATTTTTACAGCTATGGTGAGAAACGTTTAAAATCTACAACAGCCCTGTCGCGTCCTTTGAGATATACTAATGATGCCACAAAAGAGGTAATTGACATTGACCGGCATCAGCACCCTGGGGATTTGGCAGTCCGCGTGTATGCATGCTCTGCAACCGTCTTCGATTCCATCCATTAGCCACTCGTAGGGAGCTATTTGACTAAGTGCATTGTTTTAAGATTTAAAAAGTAAAGAATATTTTATATTTTTATGTACGTTTCTTTACAAAGCTATATTTAATTATAATTTTCTTTAAAAGTATATNCCACTCGTAGGGAGCTATTTGACTAAGTGCATTGTTTTAAGATTTAAAAAGTAAAGAATATTTTATATTTTTATGTACGTTTCTTTGCAAAGCTGTATTTAATTATAATTTTCTTTAAAGTATATTCATATGATTGAAGAATATTTTGTATGTACCAGTACATCCACCACATATTTTATTTCACCAAGTAAGTTTTTATTATTTTATTTTTAATTGTAGCTCTTATATCGTGGTTAGCAATTCGGAATGTAATTGTGATATTAAAAATGCATTTAGAGAAGTCTATGGTTTTTACTGGCTTATCGAATAAACGATACGAATGGACTCTTGACCATCACTGAAGCGCAATTGACTGATTGCCTCTGGATGTCGGCTTCTTATAGAAACACAACTTCCCTATAATCAAATGTCACGGTACGCCACTGTTTAACAAATATTTCATGCATTCATTGAGCAACTATGAATGCTGACATTCACCAGAGAATAACATTTGCGAGATATTAGTTTTTCACAGTAGCATATATATATGAGCCACTCACTTGCCAAATCGATTAACTCCATAAAACAAAAAGTATAAAAATTGTTAATATAAATTATTTTTTTAAATTCTTTTTAAACTTTAAATTTAAATAAACATCATAGAATGTATCTTTGAGTAAAGTTATATTAAAGCATAGCTTTAATGTAACAATATATAAAATTAGTTACATGAAAAATGTAAAAATAATAACAATTATATCAAGGATTTACAAATGGAGTTAATGGATTTGGCCTGTGAACAACTTATATAATTCTGTATACCTTCATATGTAATTCTGGTTGAGGATTCCATAATGTAAACTGATCTGAAGTTCAGCTCAGTTTTAAAATGCACTTCCACTTTTAAATTGGAAAAAAACAGATTTTATTCAAATCATATAAAAACTTTAAAAACTTTTCTTACAGATTTTCTCCATTAAAACTTAACATGGAACAAGATTCCAGATTCCAGGGAAAAAAACTTTTTTGAATATTCCACAGATAAACATTCCAATTCCGTAGTTACATGGTTCACTTTACTTGCTTATTCACCTGTTCCCAATATTGGTTATTCATAACAAAAATTTTGTGAGGATTTATCAATTTCTAGTGCTGTTGTTTCTAATATTTAAAAAAAAATTATTTTTGGATAGAAAGTGTTGATAATTTTAAGCTAAGTAGTATTTTAAATACAGTATTTCAGCAGTGACATTTGGTGATAGGGAAGCTGTGCTGGCCCTGGATAGAATCGTTGGAAGCATTACATGATACTTTGGTATGTAGCATCCACAAGCTAAACTGCATGAGACTGGTGATTTGTAAAGTGCATGCGTAAATGCCTGTAATCTGGCTGCTTTACCATTCAAATATTTTTGCTGTGGAAGCTGTCCTGTATTCAACAATACAGTGTGTGAGATGCGAACCACCCCTGTAGTTAATTAAAAATTTAATCGAAATGGAAAAATTTTTGACGAAAATATTTTGATTTTGGTGGGAAAATTATATTTTCTAAAACAAAGGAAACTGGTAAAAGTCCTTTCCTTCAACGGAAGTTGAACATCCTTTTTGGTTTTCCCTTATCTCCTAAAATTTTAGTGACCCTGGGAACTGTCAACCCCTCAGTAAAATCCTCTTTTTCCTGTTCACGTGAAAAATTACGAAATGCTGATTGGTGAAAATTCGTTAGAAACAGAAAGAATTTTGTATCATTCGGGGAGTACGCCAGAAGACCCAAAAGAGGACAGATGTATTCCACATCATCTCCCATAGGCCAACGCCCATAACTGATTCCCGAAGTCTCCTAAATGAATTATTAAATCGGTAAATACGGTGAAGAAAAAGGTTTATGTGCCGCTAAAGAACGTAAGAAAGAACATTCATCCAGAACCAAAGATACAAGACAACCGAGACAAAAAGACATGATTTGAGGTATTATGTTTTTAACAGAAATTGTGAGCGCTCTCTCTCTCGAAATCAATAGTCTTATTCGAAGATTCAATTTTGTATAACCTAGTTCTTGTCCATTAAATTTTTGTTTTTATTGTTAAAGAAATGCCTCCTACATCATCTGAATCAAACATATTTCACCATCTCCTTCATGAATCAATACGGGTGTTAATCCGCGTACAATAAAACTGATTAACTGGTGTCATTATCCTGACGTTGGATAGAGACTTCACCGTCCTTATCCTTTTTTAAAACAAGCCCTCCTAGAAAAAGTTTTAGAGATAGAATTTTACGATTTTTACCGATTAAGTGGTACCAATTCTACAGTGTACTCCTGGCTAATCTCACACAGTGCTTCCATTGGGAATATGTATATATGGATTTATATTCAAATATACAATAGCAATCCTATAATTTTTTTTACATGTAGTATAGAAATTTGTAATGTATATTTATAATAATACAATAAAATATTAATTTTAATTAATTCAAAGTACAAATTTGAAAATAATCATGAATATGTATCAATATTTATATTTTAGAAAATAAAGGGAAGTGATGCTTCCACAGCCTCCATGGACAACTCACCACTGAAGTATATATATATATATATATATATAAGGCTGTATTGTAAAAAAATATCTACTATATATATCAGGGATGGCCAACACGTAGACCGCGGTCGACCGCAAAGGTTTTGAAAGTAGCCCGCGACGCTAAAGCTGAACAATTTGCTTTCACTTAAATTAATGTTTAAAAATCTTAATTCGATAATTTATTCTTACAATAATAGTCTGTCTGTATAACGTACCCATACTGTTTGTATTTATCCCGATGAACAATGCAAATGAATGTTAACGCATGCGAATATAAATGGCATTCGCATAAAATGGCGCAAGATCATGTGTCAGACAGTAACGTGACATATTCATAGTCTCTCGCAGACTATATTTTACCGAAAAACTAGCCCGTAAGGGATAAAAGTTTGGCCACACCTGATATATATAATAGATAGTGTATTTGTTATATGATGTATCATTTCAGATCTGCAATACTGTCAAATAGGAATTAATTGATCAAATTTCATCACAATAATTTTTAAATATCAAAGTTATTATTGACTCACACTTAGTTCTTGCAAAAGAAAATTGAGGATTATAAAATTTTTTCAATAATTTATTTAGTATCACCCATACTACTAAAGCTGTGATTATGGACAATAGTATGAAAAGCAAAAGTACCATCCATAATTGCTAATCGTTTTTCAGCCAATCCAAAACTTGGAAGTTTGAAAAAAATCCATTACTCTAGATCAATGTTTCTCAAGGGGTGCGATATCGCCCCCATGTGGGTGTTTTTCCATGTTGAGGGGGCAATTAGTAACAATTTATATTTTGGGGGCGAAAAACAATTTTATGGGCGATATAGTAAAACATTATATTAAGAATAATTAGCTATTTTATTTGTTATATCATACAATAATTAAACAAATAACATTATACTAGTCACTAGTCTATTCAATGCAATACGAATTTGGCGTTAGCCTTGGCCCTCGGCATCGGAATTTTAAAGTGAAGGGGGCGATACTACGTAACAGTTTTTATTGAAGGGGGCAATGATTTGTTAGAGGTTGAGAAATACTGCTCTAGATATTGATGCTGGTACATCAAGGTGTTGTTTATGTTTATCTGTATTGATATGCTTTGTTATAGAAGACTTCCATCTACTGCTATGGAAAATTCTGCTCTACAAATTGTGCATTTCACAAAGCAATTAACCTTTTTTTCTAATATTGATATAAAAGGATTTTAAATTTACATTAATTAAAGTGATTTTTTTCATCTTATTGAACCCTACATTCTTGATTCTAAAAACATGTAATGAATAATTTTTTAGTTACAGTATTTTGGATTTTTAAAAATATTTATGTCTATATTTAAAATGGCTATTTGTCACTATTATCAAATATTCAAAAAATAATTGGATTAAATAAGACCTTGAAAAACAGGGGTCAAGTATTTCATAGAGACATCAAATTTAAGTTTTGTTAAATTATCATTATTTTTTATACATCAATAATTCAAGAATTTGACCTTATTTTTTTATTTTTTACTAATTCTATTAATTAATAGATGATCTTATTAGGAGACACAATGTTTGTTTTTAAAGGTTTTATATTATTTACGCATTTTTTGAATACTTGGCATGAGAATAATTAAGTATAATTATGTAAAACAAATTCTAATACAAAAATTAAGTAATTAAAAATTACTTTTCTTTTTCAAAAGAATCGATTTAAATGATTTTTTTTGTTTTGTTTTTAAATTTGTTTTACATAATAAACTATTGTGGACAAATAAAGTACAGTACAGTACATACATTCAGCATTAATACGAAAAAATTTTAGAAAAACAAGGAAACCTGAACTTACACTCCAGCTAGCAAATAGTCCTGACCTACTGTAATCCAGCAAAATGATAATAAATTTAGATTATTAAAAGAAAAATAAAGAAATTAAAATTACTGATATGACTGAAGGAGACCCATAATGAGTATTTTTGGAGTATGGTTGGTTACCTTAGCTACAGTCACCTGATGCTTCTCTGTACATTNAAGCTATATAGGCACTCTGCAGAAAATGTCTGACTTATGAAATATATATATATATAAAATGTCTGACTTATGAAAACCCTGTGTGCAAACACAGCATATATATATATAAAGCCCACAGAAACCCATTTGAGAAATGCTGCACTCATATATATTTATGTCACTGGTAGATACTATACTATACTATACTATGTGTAAAATAATTCATTTAAAGTATTGATTACAATTCTTTTTGTTTCAAAACAAAATTCTAGACAACATTTAAAAAATATGAATTTAAAATATACCTGTAAAGGATGTCTTTGTAATATACGTAAATGAGAATAATTGTTTTAGTGTTCTGATATTTCTCACTTGATATCATTTACATTAAAGAAAGTAATTGTTAATGTTAAATTGGGTAGTAATAGTCTGTGAAAAAGTTAACATTAGACAACCAACATAGTTAGTATTCTATTAAAAAACAGGATTCAATTTTTACTGATTATATTTAATTTTTTAGAAGACGACGAGGACAAGATATAGATCATACCTTGACGTTTTCCAATCCTACTTATAGTGCTTCAACAGGTGAAGTGGATAAGAAAACTTGGGGAAAACATATACGTTACAATAGAAATGAGGTACGTTTATTTGTGATCAATATTTTTAATTAGACAAAGGAAATTAAATAAATTTTTCTTTTTTACAGGAAAGATTATTTGATATGCCTGTGGAAGAGAAATTAAATAATTTGGAAGTGGCAGCACTCGTAAGCAAAAAATTTGGAGATCTAGAGGTAGATAATTTAGCTCCTCCACCTCTACCTCCACAACGAATAGACAGTCAACATGAATGTCTGTATTCATCTAAACTTCCACCTCTTTCTTCTCATACAAATTCTCCATCATCTATACGTAATCAATCCCAACATTCATCTCCATATTTAGATCATCCTAAAGTTAGTTATCATCCCATTGAAACAGATATCTGAAATTTGTGCCAAATGTAAATAGGGTGCTAAAATTCAATCAGAGAAAACAATTGCTCAGTATTCAGTTTGCTGGTGGACACTAAAATAATCGCACAAAAGTTGTTTTATGGATTTTATTATTTTCTGCTCTAAATGTAATTCATTTGAATGACCCTGAAGGAATTTCCAAAGATACTGTGATTCTAGTGAATCATTTGACACACCCATTGTAATTAAAAAGTAGATTACTTACTAATGGGAACATACATTCAGTAGCATTGTTGTTATTTCTCACCTTGAGAAATCACATTCTTTCTTTGCTAAGAGGCCAACCCCAATCCATTTTATAGATAATTTACAAAAAATTATTCATATTTTATCAATTTTATATAGCATCAGCTTCATTAAATTCTATATATTTATATAAAAATCATCAAATCTTTTGTAAAATAAATATTTAATTATTTTTATAATATTGAATTCACTAGTGCAATTGGTTCAAGTTTACAGGGCCTTTAAAAATCAGTTTGATTAATAATAGTTTAATAAACAAAATTCAAATTTCTAGAATCATATAAACAAAACTTTATGTACTTCAAATAATTAAACATTTATTTGAATAATGTACGAATTTGGTAACACATTCAAAAATATTTTACATTCCAAAATTTACATGCAATGCTGCTAAATAAAGAAAATGAATAATAACTATATTGACACTTCGAAAGATTTTATGAAGTCTTTTTACATTGGCAATTATTAATTGTCTAAATCTCAATCATTCCAATTTTGCTATGTTATCTGTAAATATATGAGTAATTTGTTTAATAGTTCAGTACAAATATAGAAGACTTATTTGTAATGTGGACAGATCTGTTTTTGTTTTTTTTTTTTTTTTTACTCATGAAACAATTTTGATACTCTCTCTATTAAAGATAATTTAACATACAGTATTTGCTAGTATATACATGTCAATAGTAAATACACCATGTGTGCATTTCGCACACATGGTGTAGATCTATCAACGATACACAACATTAATTTTTTATATAAAAATGGGGATGGTGAGATGGTGTATATGGTAAAGGCGTTGATCATTTTGAGGCACCTACGTTTTTGTGTTTGATCAATAAGCCTGAAAATTTCACTACAAAGACCTGGATATGTTGATTCCCATTTGTCATCACCCAAACTCTCAATATAGACCTAGCTAATACCTGTAACATGGTACAAAAAAGGCTGTAGTTTAGTGCCTGCAGAATGAAAAATAAAGATGCAGATACATGACAAATAGTTTATTTTAAAAATTTACAGTCATAAATGTATCAAAACATAGCAAATACTTTTAAAAACAAATCTGTTTACAATGCACATTAGATTCTTCTAGTTGTACCAATCTATTTAATCATACTTTTAAAATTCTGAATTAACAGTTGTTATTCTTAGCTCATTTATTACCTAGAAAATCTAGATATTTTACTATATATTATAAGAACTTAGTTTACAGTATATTGAATTCTAATCATTTCTAGGTATTGTTAAAATGCATCAAAATTAAAAGATGAATATTTTTTGTATAAAATTAAAAACTATACATCAACAGTGCCTTTTATTAAAACATTATAATTTATTTGTATTCAAATAAAACGAAACATGCTAAAATGGTTATCCAATAAGTACTGTTTAAAGTTGGTTCTGCAGAATGACAAATTCTCTCCCCTTAGTATAAGCAAGTTCCATTGTGTATTCGAAGCTAGAACAATTTATTTCCTATTTTATATATAAACTTGATGATTTATAACTTTTAACAATAGACAAGGCACAAAATATATTTACTTGTTTCTTTTAAATGGTACTTTTCTTAGGAAAATTATCAAAAATATGATGGAAAATACTAGGATGGATTAATTCCGATTATTTTATTGTGATTGTAATTATCCACACGACTGTAAATATTTTGCGTGTTAATTGTAAATAAGTGTGTTTTCGAACTTTCCATTGTGATCAATGTCCATTTAACTCAACAGTGATAAACATGATATTCGGTTGAGTTCTTCGATCAAATTTATATATGTATATGTAGACCATATCTGTGATTCCTTGTAGAATTTGAATCAATTCTGCGATGATATTTTTATAAAATACAAAAAAAAACCTTGATTTATTCAATCCCGTTCCTGGCGGCTCTACGCCATAGTGTGTGTTCCAAATGCATGTTCCGATTCATTGACATAATTCAATGTCTCGCAATTACCTCCAATGCCATTGTTTTATTTTTTAATTCAATTTAATATATGATGTGCAATATTTCCCTATAAAAATCAATCCTACAATCCATGATATAACCAAATACTCAGCATTGGTGTTTTGTATATGAAAAAATATGGTGTTTTTATGCTGATAAAAATTGCTCATTATAAAAAACTGAAAAACATTTAAGAATTGTAAATACTTTGTACAATTGGGGAAAGAAAACATATCAATTTGTACATTAAATCTCATTCAATAAAACAATTTATATAAATATTTTGTTTTATTTATCCATTTATTCTTTAAGTAAAACGTAAGCTTTTATGTTGTATCCGTGTATTTTATATAGGATGGCCCAAAAGTCAGCTAGATATTTTCATACTACTAGAACCAGTCTGGGCAGTTGTATATTCATGATCCAGTCATTTCCTTTAAAAGGTATAGTAGTTTTCAACACCACCTGCATGTTATTTTGTTTTAATGCAAAAATGAATTAAAGCTGAAGACTCAACTTGAATGTAAACTACTCAATACCTACTAGCTATAATTGCGGTAGTAATAATTTAACAAATTCCAACATATTAAGCAGGATCCACACTATCAGACAAGAAAACGACACGTCACGGATCGGCAAAGACACGACGAATTTGGAATATTCACATTATCAGACACGTAACAACACAACGCAACAAAACAATTTGCAAGTTGTTTAAATTACATAGCAATTCTAAAGCGTGTTAAGAAATTTTTCTATCAATGACTCGGTTAATAGCCGTGTTACTCGATGAAGATGAATCCCAAAACAAAAGAAAACATATTTTGTACACAAAATGTAGAATAAACGCGAAAAAGAGGGAGAATATCAGACTTCTAACCAAAGATTTTCTTTCCGACTGTTAGCGCTATAAATTGGATAAGACGTTATAAAGTTCTGGATACTGACACAGTGGCGTAGCTACATAGCGCCCTGGTGTAAGTCGAATCGATGCGTCCTTTGTTCCTCGGAAGAGGTCTCGCGAAATTTATTTTGAACATTTAATTAATTTAAAAACATATCTAATTATTTCGATTTAAAACCTTACTTAATAACAATGTATTTGAGATTCAAGGCATTTCAACAATAAGATATTCAATTTAATAAATCTTATAATATAATCGAGATGGGTTGATAATGATGATAATAATAAGCGCAGAGCCCAAACGGTTAGAAGTTGAAAGTTTATATTTGATACACAATTAGGGTACGTAAAGAGAATGCACACTAAGAAGAAATTTTTCGAAATTCCTCCGTGGGGAGAGAAGAAGACGGTTAAAGATTACCCTGAAGAACTTAGCTTCTACTATACTATTTTAGATGCGGTACATAGCGTTTTGATGCGATATTTTGCGTTTTTGAGAGAAATAGAGCATATTTTTAAAGCCATCTAAAAATTCTCTAATTAGTCTCGGAAGAGGGGGTACCTAATTCTTGCACCCGGTGAAAACGAATAAGATAGCCTATAATCTAATAATCTTAATCTTTGCTATCGTTACTTTTTGCCCGAGCAACGCCGGGCTCATCTGCTAGTACATTTATAAATATGAGGTGTATAATAATAAAACAAAACACTGTTCATATAATTCTTTAAGTACGGAGTGCCTAATAATATTTACTACATACAGTAGAGCGTCGTTTATCCGAAAGCTGGTTATCCGAAAGCATTCCAGTCGGCAAATTTAAATTTTCGCTAGTGCTGTGGCGCTAGCGAAAATTTAAATTTCTATTTCTCGGACGACTACTCAAATATTTTACGTTTTTGATACTAAATTAACATCTGAAGTATAATTTTTTATTGTTTTTATATTTTTCAATAAATTTATTTTGTTTGTACAAAGTAAAAAAATAATTTTTAACGGTACAATAGTCTTCGTTAGGCTTAACATCGACGAAAATTCAACGCGAAGCGACACGCAACGGAGAGAAATTTCAACACGGGATAAAATACTGTATATTTTTTCGTACACGATTCGTTATCCGAAAAATAAGTTATCCGAACCACCCCAGTTCCCAATTAATTCGGATAAACGACGCTCTACTGTATTATATAAACTGTATTGACAAACTGTAAGCAAGTTTAGTTTAATAACAAATACGTAATAATACTTTAAAAAATTTCAAAATTGTTTTCTCGCTTTTTCATTTGCAAATCCGTCAATCACTTTCTTCAGATCAAGTTGACAAGCTTTTTCAATCGGCAGAAAATTTTTTCAATTGATATAGTCAAGGGCGGATCTAGGTTTATCGGGGCCTAGGCTTATTGAAGTCTAATGGGGAATTAATTATTACATCCAAAAGTTTTTTACAAATGTTCTTACAAGTTTTTATTTTGCCGTTTCTAGCTTGGCGCCCTCGTGATTCGTGCGCCTGGAGCAGTTTGCTCCCAAGGTCCTAGCAAACCGGAAGTCACGTTATTTTAATTCAATACTTTTTCCCTGAAAGGAGTTAGACAGATTATTCCATTGCTAACGGAAAAAACTTAAAAACCAGTGCATTTCAGAAGACCCGGAGCCCAGGGACTAGATACAAAAACCCGAAAACTCCGTGTCAACACTGGAGAGGCGGAAACACGTCAAAATCTGATGGTGCAGTCAAATCTCTCAACATTATTGAAATCAATAAATAAATTTTGAAGAGTTTTAGTGAAATTGAAGAAGAATGTGTTCTTGATCAGCTTGATTATAGTTATCCCTTATTAAGTTCTGAAGATACTGATTTCACTGACCAGAAAATATCTTTAGTCAAAACATTCACTAAAATGAGACAAGTACAATCTTCGCTAAATTCTAATTGATTTTTTTTTTTTTTTTTTGAGAAGAGAATAATTACGAGAAAGATTCCGTGATTGATTTACAATCGGTAGAAAATTAGTTTCAAGCTCTGCAATTCCCGGTTTCTTCGCAAAATCAAAAAATTCATTCTGGAGAACCGAGGGCGATTTTAGAGAGTTGCAAATCTTCTGAAGAATACTTTTCTGCTCAATCTAAATCAAATTACAAAAGAAAAGAATACAGTCGACCCCCCTATAAGATATAGATACGTTCCAATTTATTAGGAATCCGATTTCTTACAAGTCGTTCCAATCACAGCCCGACACGTGTCAAGTTTACGGACTACGGCTGATTGAAAGGTTTTCTTCCATAAAATTAATCGATTCTACACTAATCCGACTCAACATTTCCAAAATACGTATATTTTTTCGTAGTTTTATAGGAATCGTAATTATAGGGACCGTAATTATAGGGGGTTGACTGTATATAACATTTGGACGAATAAAAATAAAATATATTGACTTAGTAGCCTAAACATGAAAATTCTGCTCTGAAGACAAAGCAAAGTTTTCATATAGTAGGGCCTAGTACTTTCAGACCAGGCCTATTATAATTAAAGACATTTTATATTCTTTTGTATAAATTGCAAAATCCGATACCTGTCAAGTAGTTCGCCACAAGAAAATTAGGCCTAGTAGTTTTATTTTGGGTTTTGCCATGTACGAAAATCTTGGCGAAGTTCAAATAACCAACAGCTTAACTATGATCCACCCCAAAGATGAATCCACAAGAAATTTGTCAGATCGGAATAAGGAAAATAAAGAGAATTCCCGAAGAGATTAAATGGAGCTAAAATATGTGGAATACACAAGTAAACTATTCTATGATGCAACTGAATCGAGTCTGGACTAATGCAAGCCTTCGAAAAAAAACAACAAAAAAAATATTTGAACTTATACGGAAATTTTCCAATGTATAACCTTCGCTGAGACTAATCTAAGTTTCGTCTTAAATAGTACTTTAAACACACGTGTTATAGCGGCTGCTATAACAAGTGTGTTTAAAGTATTTCAAACGAATTGATCTGTCTCCTGATTAAAACAGACTATTGACATCATAAATATCAAATAACGGCACATTAAAAAAGTCATTTTATATCCTCACCTCCACGCGAGCACTTCCAATGATTAATATTTAATGGCGATAACAGTGGCGTGCCGTCATTAGAAGCGTTGGAAGCGCCGCTTCCCTCGTATTCTCTAAAAAATAAATAAATATTTTTGATTACTTATTTAATTTACTTTCATTTGTTTTTAAGTAACAAAAATTTTCATTTAGGTGCTCCAAAACTGATGTACAAAATGGCAAATGTCATTATGTTGGATTCCCTTTATCTGGTAAGAATTTTTCAAGCTAATAAAATCTCAAATCATTCAAACGATAAAATCTAAAATCTCAATCTCAAATCATAATGACTGACTAATGTTGTTATTTTTAGATCCAGCTCTGCAGAGTGCCTATATAGCTTTGAGTGTGATTTTATTGGTTTTAGCAATTCTATTAATAGTTGCCCTTGTAATGTGGAGAAGGTATGTTTCTGAATTTAATAAATATTTCTACTCTGTAAAGTTTATTATCTTTAACTATAATTTCTATTTAGAATTATTTGAATTACAATCCATTTTAAATATGCCATCCCATTCAATATANTAGATATATTATATCTAAATAAATAGATGTTATATGTTTTTATCAAAGCAAGAATTGGCATTTAGAGGGCATATGGAATATATTGGATCTAATAACAGAAGTAATTATAATGAACTTGTTTATTAAGTACGTCGGATAAATAATCTATTAAAAATACATTTAAAGAAAGGATTAACTGATTGCTCCTGAATGTCGGCTTCTGATAGGAACACAGCTTCCCTATCATCAAATGTCACGGCACGCCCCTGGGCGATAACAATTTTTGCAATTGGTCTATATACAAACATACCAAAATAGTTTTTTAAACCTTTACTGTCCTGTGAACACTACAAGAGTCTTTTCAGCAAACTTATTACGAGTTCGGCCATTCCCGAAAAATTCTTGGGTTTTTCGGCCTGTCCAGGTAAAAAGAATTGTGAAAGAATTTGTAGAAATTTACTTATAAAATTGAATTTTATATATTTTGTAGTAAAATTTTAATCAGCGTCATCACATGACTATAATAAATCAATTCCATTCTTCCACAGATGTAGAGTGACCGTGTTTCCGGTATTGACACGGAGTTTTCGGGTTTTTGCATCTCGTCCCCGAGCTCAGGGTCTTTTTATAATTTCTCTTGTGTGCACTGGTTTTTAAGCATTACTAAATAAAATAATCAAATTTTCGAACATTTTATTTCTCTTTAAGTAGGAATCCTAATTTTTACTGCAT